GGCCCAAATTCATCCCTGATTCAGACCTTAGTATACAACTATAGATGCTTAAAAAGCAACATTTACAGTGATGTGTCAAAAGCTAAATTTAGCTAGAGTCTTTCTCATGGCTCCGCTGGGGTGGCTGTAAGAATAACCCCTCTACCTACAGATTACCTAAACTTAATCTCCATGAGCTGTAATTCTTTCCTTCCTTGTCCTCATTTTTACCAACCAGTTATGAGAAAAACCCGACTCTTGGAAGCAGGATATGTTGTGCAGAGTAAATTAATATATGGAAATTTATTTAATTTCTGTAGTTTCTTTGGTGCACAAAACTCTGATTGTACCACTTAGCATATCCTTGTTTTAGATGTCTGATGTTACATAACTTTGCTCAAAGAGTGATGGGCAGCAGTTCGGCAGGGCGGGGACATATATAAGTGCTTTGTGCCTTTCTGTGAAAAGGAAGAAGGGGAAAAATTGAGGTTATTTTGCTTCAGGGTGAACTTTGTTTAGCACAGAACAAGCAAATGTAAGAGTCAGGTTGGATTACCAAGTGCAGCCTTTGCTGTAGAGAGGCTGGTCCTTGCTTTGTCTGTTTTGATTGTGTCGAACCTTTTTGTGTCTCAGTGAACTGCAGACACACTTCAAAGCTGAATGTGCAGCCTTCGTGCACTGTCTTCAGGACTGGGGTATGTTCTGCCTCTTTCCTTTTAGGAGTATAATTTACCCAAATAATTCAGTGTTTCACTGTTCTAGTTCCTGGACCTTGTGATCCTGAAGACTTAATTGATGGAATCATATTTGCTGCCAATTACCTTGGCTCCACTCAGCTTCTTTCGGACAAAACTCCATCCAAGAATGTGCGAATGATGCAAGCTCAAGAAGCTGTTAGCCGAATCAAGGTGAGGGGGTCTATCTTAATGTCCATCTCTAGTGATTCTTCAGAGCCACAGCCATGAATGATGTGTGCTTCACTTCTCTGCTAAAAGATAATACTTCTTGTGACTGGGCTGAAAAGATTTACTAGATCATTTAACCTATATACTGTTTTCACATTTTGTGGGTCAGATTATACAACAGCAGTATTTGTTATGTATTTCTTGTAATATGTTGGAGTCTATGAGAGAATTCATATTTTTGTACTTCTAGACCCTAAAAAGATGGTCTGTTCTGTCATCTGTGCATGGAAATAAATGCTTTCAGCACTGTGTTCATACACCTCTGTGCACATGGGGCAGGCCACGAAGGGCAGGGAGGTTAGTGAGAGGGAGCAGGAAAGAGGTAGTAGAAATTCCAATCAGTCCCTTGACAGTTTTAACATTGAATAAACAACTATATCAGAATATATATCATACATAAGTGAATCAAATGGCTTATGTGACCAGTCACAGAAGATACACTGTGCTTAAGAGAGAAACTCTTACATACAAGCATTTCATTGTGGGTAATGGCAGTGTATTCTATGGAAGGAGACATACTGGTGGGTTGTTGCATTGGTTCCTTACTCCCTTCTTTTAAAAGTGACATGAGAGTCACAATGTTTTAAATTACATTTAACTTGTTTTATGGTCTATATCTGAATGCAGTGTGAGATTTTTAAAAAACCTTACAAATTATGGATGTGTATGTTTTGTTTCTTGGGAAATAGGTGTCCTATCAAGCTTGTGGAGCTTAGACTGCATCAAGTCTAGTAATTTATGCTGCCATCCACAAACCAGCTAGTATTGAACACAGTGATCTGTGATGGTGATGCCTGGTGTTGGGCCTGAGTCCTTGCACTGGTGAAAGAGGTCATACTGTTGTACTCTGTGTGGACCTGACAATGCTACTTGCCTTCACACACACAACCTTTGAGAGGGTGTTAGGCTGCTGATAGTTCACAGTAAGGCACTCTGAGGACCACTCTCTTACAGAGGTGTCTGGATAGCTCTTGCATGAGGAACGGCTTCGTCTCCAGGTGGCAGACTTGGATGCTTCCCATTAGCTATGGTAGGACAACTGCTGATTACACTACCACTATTTAAGCATCCTAAACGGAGTGTGCTGAGACTGGCTATTTTTTTATTGAAGTCAATTGAGGCTAGTTAATGTGAAAGAAATTAAGTCAGGAATTAGTATTCCAGTTTCAGCTTGTTTGTGGATGAGGTGGTTCTTTGCAGATTAATTTATAATCTCTGTATATTAGCAACTGCAAGCTCCAACCCAGTCCAAAGGGCCATGTGGAAAGCTTCACACAAAACAAACTACAAATTCAAGTAGATAATTGCTCCAGGTCCGGCCTCCCATCTCACATTCTCCCCTTCCAGGTACCTTTGCTGTCTCGTGATATGTCAGGGCATTGTGCATTTTCTTGCCTCCCTGCAGGCAGGGTGATGTGAAATTGTCATGTCTGGCTTTTCATCATAATTAGGAAGAGTGTGGAAACTGTGGTATAAGGAAATACTTTCCAGCCACAACTCTAAGTCATCTGAAATATATACTTTTGCCTGCACTCAACAAGGCCATGATTCTCCCACTTTTTTTCTTGTATTGTCAGTAATGTAAGCTTGGGAAAGAATTTCAGAAGCATGAAAATAAACTGTGTCCGGGGGGAAAGCCACTTATATAGTTTACAAGCCTTTATGTGCACCAGAACAAGCTCTTTAGATGTGACCGTGGAATGTATTTATACAGTAGAAAGCCCCTATGTAAGAGCAGCCAAGACTAGAACATTATGTTGGTATTGCTATCAAACAGTTATATTAGGGGGAAATGAATGACGAATGAATATTAAAACTGTGTAAACGGTGCTCCAATCAAGTAGGCTAAGGATCCTGGAAAAATACAGTCATACACTAGGCTATAATGTATGCAATTGTTGTTTTAACTAAGGCTTTCAAATGTCACTGCTTTGTCATTCACTTCAGAAATTACACATATATGTGCATGTGCACACATGATAATGGAGGTAATGAACTAACATACATATGAAATTTTAATCTTGAATCCTAAAGTTGAATTGACATTTTAGAAGATGCGGTTAGACAAATTAAATATTCCCTATTTTCACATGTACATCAAATGATGTGTTTGTACATATGTGGAATATGTGCATAAGGGCACCTTTCAAAACATGTATGTAAATTTAGATTGAGGAGTAAAGTATTCATATATGTTTTAGTTTTGACCTTCATTGTTGGAGTTTTTGGAATCTGTTATGGAATAGAATTGCAAATGCCTGTAGGATTTTTGCTATCTATCTTATATTCAGTGATACTTGGCTCTGTATAATTAGCAGGCACAGCATTAACCAACTGGACAGAACACTAACCAGTCCATAGGGAGATCCAACCAACACACACACACACACATTTAAAAAAAACTGGTTTGCTGAGATTGCTAAGTCTTCTTTGAAAAAGTAGCTTTTAGTGAATTTTGACTATATTACACCAATTGGCTTTTATTTATAAGGGAGATTAGGCACACTCAGTATCAGTGTGATCTGAAAATACTCAGCTTTGGCTGCAGTCCTTTATAGCAAAAATATGTCCTTTTTTACAGTACAATTTCAGTTTTTCTTTTTTAAAGCCAATTTATTAGTGCATTATTTGCTGTATCAAAAAGTTACAAAGAAAGGAATGAGGCAAACATTTAATCAACAGAAATTGCCTCAACTTGTTTTTCTTTTTGTCGCATTGTTTCCTCATGGTTCTGTTTGATAAATATCTTGCCAAACTATGAAGTTGGGTTCATATTTTCTTTGTGAAAATAAGGTGAAATTATGCAAATGTTCAGTGACTTTCTGATGAAATCTTGATTAGCTTCCTTCCCATTGTATTTGGTCTCTCTACAGCAGTTTCCCACTTGGCCAAAAGCCAGTGGGGGCTGCAGCACTGAATTGCCAGGTCAGAGATGACGTAAGCACTAATTTGATGTGCCAGTTGACAGCCTGGTTGTAAGAGGTTATTGTTGCTCAATCCTGAGGTTTCGAGACAAGTTGAGAGGGTTGCTTACATCCAAGAAAACTGATCCAAGGTTCTTATTCTCTTCAGGGCATCTCAGTGCCCACAAAGAGCATTCATATGGACTTGGCACTTTCATTGATATTAAGGAGACTGCTTTGAGCATATCAGAACTTCTGTGCAGAAAAGGGAGTTGAGCCTCTAGACTGGAGCAAGGGAGTGGGCAAATGGAGGAGAGGATGGTAAAAAACCGGAATGAGAACCACCAATAAGTTATCTTTTTTTGGAAATCCTTTGATCTGCACCTGCATCTTTGCATACTGTCTGTGGGAGCCCCATTCTCTTGCCCATTGAGTCTTCCTGGATCATTCTTCACCTTCGTGCTTGGAGACCACCTCCTACACATCCTTTTTCCAGGGAAGGGGAATAAAAGCATTACCATGAAACTGATGTCAAGTTCAGCATTAGCAGATACTGTATGACAGACAAGGAACTGAAAACATCAGTTCTGGCTAAAGTGATTCACCTCATTTGTCTTATGATTGGCATATGCCTCCTTATTTTAACCCTTTTCCTTTAAGATCTGGAAATATTTTTGACAGCAGTAAGGTATATATATAGTTAGAAATTGTCATAGTTAGTATTTTTATTTTATATGCCCTTTACAATTAAGAATAAGGCTATCTTGATATGTCACAGATAATTTAACCGAAAGGCTTCACAAATTTTCTCAGTGGTAGATTTTGTGCTCCAGCAATTTCCTCATTATAGTAAATAGTCCCCTGGATGACATTTTCAGTACTCTATTCTGGTTTTAACTAAAGCCTAGCACTGTATGTATCACTTCTGCTGATGGTCTCAAGTGGCTGAATACCAAACATGAGCACTGCAAGTTATGACTGCTCTTTCTCTGGGCTCAATAGCTGCTAGTTATTTATTGGATACTTATTGAATACTTGGCATAATGTACAGTGGACTTCTCCATGTGCACTAAAATCCCTCCCGTAGAGAGATCACCACAGAGCCAGCATGCTATAGTGGTTAGAATGTTGGACTAAGATCTGGGAGGCCCAGAGGTTCAAATCCCAACACTGCCAGGAAGCTCACTGGGTGGCTCTCTCTCTCTCTCAGCCTAACTTACTTCTCAGAGATAAAATGGAGGAGGAGTGAAGGATGTTGTCACCACTTTGGGTCCCCATTGAAGAGACAAACGGTATAAATAGCTGAAAATAAAATAAAATAAAGGAAGTAGTGAAGATTACACAGATTGCTGCCAACAGTTCCCACAACCATGGGGCCATGCTTCTTCTGTGTCAAATCCATGCAGATTAACACCAAGAAACTGAAGAGTCTGTGCAGTTTATATGCTGCACATTAGCCTAAATATACATTTGTGGTTACAGACTAGAATAGTCAAATGTCCAGTCTAGTAACTGGTCTGCCAATCGTGGTTTCCATGTGGAGGCTGCTTGGAACATCATTTGTGTGATGTCTGCTCCACGTGAGTACCATGTGTAGAGCGGCTCACCACATTGATGGCTCTCTGCACCCTCCCTCGCTTTCGCAAGATGTTCTACATGGCTGCCAGGATTATTTGACCGTTGGATAGAAACCGTTGGAAGAAGATCCATACCACATATCACCCAGCTAGAAGGTGTTTCATTCAAGTGTTTCATAAGCAAGTCTTTACTATTTTTACAGGGCTCACTTCAGAATTACCTGTCTAGGATTGGGTGTGTCAGTGTATTAGGGCTCGAATGCTTTTCTTGTTTCCGCTGATTTAATAAGGGATAATTTCTCTTGTCTTCAGTGTAGTGACAGCTGAATTAATCTTTTAGTAGAATCTCTGTTATACTGAAAATGTTTCCCTTGATCCATATCTCTCTCTCTCTCTCTCTCTCTCTCTCTCTCTCCCTCTCTCTCTCTCTCTCTCTCCCTCTCCCCCCCCTTACTCTGCTTACCTTATAAAAACTATTCTACTGTGTGACCTTTAAAATATAAAACAGAACTGAAGCTTCACTTAGGTGATAGTCACAGTCCTGATGTTCTAGATCCCTACTTGACTTGACGTCTCTGCGAGTTCCTTTCTAACCATTCTCCTATCTCTGTTTATTCCATGCTAAGCAGATGGCCCAGAAATTAGCCAAAAGCAGGAAGAAGGTGCAGTACAACCTCATCAGCTTGATGTTATGCCTGGGTTGTTGGTTTTTTTGTTGTTGTTCATTTATTTTTATTTTTTGCATTTCTCGCTTTTTACTTTTTCTTTCTAAACATTTTCTGTATCCAGCAAGTTTTTTTCTTTTGATTTGTTTGAGACATCATATAAATTGACACTTCTTAAGCAACCAACTGCCTGGTTTGCTCTTCTTTGTTGCTTATCATTAGCCATTTCATGTTAGAATGTCAGTAGGGTAATGAATGGATTTAAACAATAATAGACTGTTCCCAAAAGTATTTTCCAAATGCAGAGCTGATGGGTAAAGGTTCTAATTAAATTCTTGCTTTAAAAAAACGTATATTTTCTTGCTACTTGGTATTAAAAGGGTGTTTCACTTGATTTATGGATGTGTCAAATTGCTGGATGCAAAAAAGCTATGTACACAAAATTACATACTAAGATTACTAAAACACCTCAATTTTGGATTTTAATGGAGTTTTACATGGTTCTTAAAAATCTGACGGATTTTTAATGTACAAAATTATGTTTGTTCAGTCTGTGGAGTGGGTTAATACTGTAATATTTCTGTTGTCTGCCCAAAGAGTCCTTCATACCCAGAATTGTATTGTTAGTTCTTTATACTGTTCCTGTGGTAGAATTAGTTTTGACAGGCGTTTAAAGCCATTTTATGTGATCTTTGTGATTATCTCCTTTTGGAACCTTTCAGATAAGGTCTGCCTTCAAAGAAATAAATATAAGGACAGTCATTTGTATGAAAAACACAGAATAACATGCATTAGCAATGGGACCCAGTTATGTAAACATTCTTCACCCTAATATGAAAGGGGAATGAGCAGCAGACACATCTTTGGCCTCCCCTTCTGTCCCCAAGAGTAAGTTTACAATACAATCAGTTACTGCCCTAAGTCTAACTGTACCCAGGCACATCCTCAACCCACTAATCACTTCCCAGTCGATAAATTGTAGGCTCAAGAAGGTTCCCATTACGGATGAACTTAATATTGCGCTGGATGATTCAGTATTTTAGGACCACAGAGAAAGAGGAGAGAGCAGGCGAAAGTACTTTTATCTAGCTTCCCTTTCACACCAGAGAGATATATGTTTGTAGAATGAGTGCTGGTGGGTGAGACAATTAACAGTTGTGCACAGTATTGCGCTCTAATTTACATTTCATACCTCTATATACTTTCCATACCTTTGTGCTTACCTTTAGCTTCTGCAGTCTAATACTACATGTTTGCATTGCTCTGCTGGTGACTATATCTTGATGCTTATTTGATCTGTTATCTAACCCTCTCTGTTTTAAGGATTCTCCTCAAATGTTTTTTTTAAGTTGCTAATTAAGATTTACTTTAATTGCAGGCTCCTGAAGGTGAATCTCAACCCATGACAGAAGTTGACCTCTTCATTTCAACACAGAGAATAAAAGTGCTGAATGCAGATACACAGGTACAACGAACAGTGATCATTTCGCTGAAATCCAGCAATGTCGTTTCGCTGATACATCCCTCACCGGCTTATTTTCGTTTGTCACTGACATGACCCTGAAGGTCACACATTTTAGATCTTTGGTGAGAGGCTGGAGTTTGACAATAATCCGTTTCTTCCCAAACCTTTTTCAAAGGGAGACGAACTAATATTGGGTTTTTATTTTACTTATCTTATGGTTTCATGTAATTCCCACAATTTTGCAGCCACCCACTATTAGAAAGGCTAACAGCTGAACTGAGGTATTCTGGGGCTGCCTCGGAACAACTTAATGCCTGTGCCTATAGCAAGTCATATGTTCAATCTTGTTTTCTGCTGTTGATTAAGTCATTAATTAATAAAACAGCCTTATAGCACTCCTTCAAAATTTCCAAGGATGGCCCACCTCCATCAAGTGGGAGCATCCACAGAAAAAACAAGGGGTCCTTGTCAATGCCAGGCAGGTCACCTCAAATGAGGGAACAACCAGAAGTGAGCAAGCTGAAAACCAGAGCTTATAGAAGGGCATAACTCTGTTTAGGATTGCAGTTAGATTGTCGGAACATCTGTAGGAATAGGGAACCAGTTAGGATGGTTGCCTTACGATGGATAAGTTGGATTCCTGAAAGACATTGGGGTGTTTTTCGCAAATAGCACTACTGCTCTGGTTGAAGCCCTGGGTGGTCTCTGAAACAGAGAAATAATCCCGGTGGTTGACATGATTACTGCTCGGTGCCTTCTACCATCATGTAGAATCTGTTTGGCTCCTTGGTTTTTGAGGAGTTGGGACAATTAATGCAGTTTGCTGAAAATTCAGAATGAGTGCAAAGGTACCACACAGAAGTCATCAAACTGCGCTCTAGCCTCTGTTTATGACTACTGTGCGGCACTTTTATTACTCTGCTACTGTTATGTTTCTGTTCAAAGCTTCCAGCTCAGTTTTTCTTAGTGATAAAGGGATTACTTTATCTGAATCCTTCAGATGCTATTATGGATAACATAGAAGATTGCTGTGACTTATTTGCAAGGCATTTTTAGGATTAAAAAAACTCATATTCACTCTGACTTGGGCATTTCTGTTTTAGAAGATCTATTGTCAGTGTTACTATAGTACAGTGCAGTTGAAGTTGCTTGGAAATCTTTTAGCACTACAACTTGAGGCTTTTCAAAGGTTGCTTGGAAGGATGCAACCTGCCACCTCTGTGCTTAGCTTTCCTACCCTGGGTTATCACATCTTACTGGAAGGAGGTGCTCAGTTGAGGTCGAAGAATGTTGAATGTTTCTCTGAAAGAGCGTAAGGTCCCGGCCATCATAAAGAGGAAGTTATTAGGCCTCTGTTCAAGAAGCCATACCTGGACTCAGGTGATGTTAATAATGATAGATCAAAGGCAAATATTTTCAAGGGCAGGATGTTAGGGTGTGTGGAACTCTAGGATTTTTAAAATAAAACAAATTAGATTCATTTCAGTCTGGCTTCAGGTCCAGTTTTAGAACTGAAATTGCCTTGGTCACCCGATGGACAATCTTTGCTATGAGTAAGACAGGAGCAGTGCCTCCTGTTAATTCTATTGGCCCTCTCAGTGGCTGATGGTGTCCTTCTGGATTGGCTAGTATTTAAAGCACCTTGGTCCAGGGGTTCTGTTTCTGTCTGGTTGATCAGAAAGTGGTGGTTTGTGCTAGAGTTTGTGCAATAGGATCCCATAGAGTTCTTGCCCCATAGTGTTAAACATTTCTATGAAACTGCTAAGTGAGATCATCTGGATATTTGAAGTTAAAAAATGCTTGTTTTTTTCCTTGAAAAAAACCAGAAATATTAGAGGGAAATTAAATATGTGAAGTAGTTTCTTATCAAACTTCAACTTTTAATTTAGGCAGCATGTAAAATTATATTCTTTGGCATATTGATGGAATGTAAAGATATAAATGTTTTCATTTTCTGCAAGCAAAATAGTGAGCATACTCAGTACTTGGGAAAGAGAACTGCAAACTGTTGCAGTACTATGCTACCTTAGCACATTTCCCCCCATAATCTTTACATTTCCAGTTTGGAGAAAGCCAATAAACTGAAGCCCAGTCTAGATAAGAGAGACTGTGGGGTGTAGCAGTTAGACTGTCAGATTAGGATCTGGGATACCCAGGTTTGAGTCCCCACTCTGCCTCCATGAAAGCTCAATGGGCAATCTAGGGTTAGACCCACACTCTCAGCCTAAGCTGGTTCACAGAGTTGTTGTAAGGATAAAATGGAAAAATGATGTAAGGCTGCTTTTGGTCCCCATTGTGGAGAAAGGTGGGATATAAATGTAGTCAACAAATAAACCTGAGATTAACATGGCTAAGGCATATGGAGCCAACCTGTTCTAGATGGAGTTGCATCTTGAGGGTGGGAGGAGCTTTTAGATCCATGACAACAGATGAATTGTTCAGTTCTCATCTGTGGCATGTAACAAATTAAAATAGTTTTGGTTAGTTCCTTGAGGTCCAGGCCCTGGCTACAGTTATCCATGATCTGATCTCATCCAGGTTAGATTGTTGCAATGTACATTACATGGGGCTGTCTGAATACTGTTTGGAAACTTGAGTTGGTTTAAACTGCCAGTAGCCTGATTTTTTGTGTGGGACAGGTTACAGGAATCATCACCAGTTCTTAAAGAACTATACTGACTACTGATTTGTTTCTAGACACAATTGAAAGCTTTTAAAGTCCCAAACATCCTGGGCTACGGCATCTAAAGGATTGCTGGTCTTCATTACTAGTTTAATATCTTTTTCAGACGTTCTGCTCCCAGGTTCCTCTGCCTTCAGAGGTGAGAAGCATAATCCCTGCAGACAGGGCTGTTTCTGTTATGGCATCTCACCTTTAGAAATCCATCTGTGCAGCTTTAGGCACTCGACAAAGATGTTCTTAATAGTTGTTAATTTTTTCCTGCCCACTGCTGGACCTCCTGATGGCACCTGGTACTTTTGGCCACTGTGTGACAGAGTGTTGGACTAGATGGGCCATTGGCCTGATCCAACATTGGCTTCTCTTATGTTCTTATGTTTCTGACGGTGGCCCTGTTATAATTAATGATGCATTTATGTGTCAGTTTCATACAATTTAGGCCAAGGCTTTAAAAATTTTATACCCTTGTTTATGTCTCTCTGTTTATGTCTCTCTGTCCCTGCCCCCTTTGTACTTTTTTCCCAAAGAGTTTATTCCTTTGATTTTTGATCGTGTTCTCATGAGGCATTTTATATTGTTCACCATTATATTACTGTGCATCTTTCTTTTTCGTATTTTAACTACAGTAAGATGTCTTGGGAATTTTTAAACTGAGAAATACACAAATGTATTGGGTAAATAAATACTTGAAATGTTGGTTTGCAAAGGAAAAATAAAATGCTACACTTTCAAAATGAATTCTAATAAGATTTAAATAAGTTTGTTGTTTTATATATTGGAAAAGGCACTGTCAAACTTAACATCGTTAGAAGTGCACACAGGTTAACTTGACTATACTAGCAAGTTTGCCTTGGCCCCCAATAAAGCCAGCTGCTTAGCTTGTGCACTATGCAAAGAGGCGCAGAGATCCTGACCATGCTTGCTTCCATATGGAACTCTTGCTCTGTATCTTCCCCTCCTCCCAAACAGCAGTGGTTTTAAATTGGCCTTCTGAATGACATCATTTTGTGGTTGTCCACCTTCTGGATTTTCCCCTCCTTAGCTTCTGGTTTTCCTAAACCTGCTTTAGTATGAGCTTTCCCAAAGTTCATACTCAAACTATGTTTGGGGAAATTGCTGGGTTTGTGGAGATTGTTGGCGAGAAGATTTGGATTTCCCATACCTTCCTGTCCACACCCAGTGCCATTTCCAGAGATGGAATTAAGCTAGGTGGCCAGGGTCTAGACTAGTGAAGCAGATCTGGTGCCGTAGCTCTCTTACCCAACACATGCTTCACTGCCAAAAGCTGGCACGAAAGCATGAGAGAGAATCCCTGTGTCTTCCATTTGGCTTGTAGCAGTTGACTATGCAGGTCTATCTTAATAACAGATTATAGCCTACTGTTTTATAATTATCATGGTTTAGTCTAAATATTTGATCCAAAACACCAGGGACGGGTAGGAACATTTTGTTGCTTTCCTAGAAAGTGATAAAAATCATTTTTTTCATTCCTGGAGTCTGAATAGCTGAATATACTAAATGTCTGTGGTATGTTAGTGCTAAATAGTCTAAAACAATGGTTTGTCTTCCCTAGGAAACTATGATGGATCATCCTCTAAGGACTATTTCCTACATTGCAGATATTGGGAATATTGTTGTATTGATGGCCCGAAGGAGAATGCCAAGATCTAATTCCCAAGATAATGTGGAAGCATCTCACCCCTCCCAGGATGGGAAGAGGCAGTATAAAATGATGTGCCATGTTTTTGAATCTGAGGATGTAAGGAGAGTTTTTGTTATTGTTATCCCTTCATTTTTTAAAAAAAATAACAAAAACAGAAACATAATTTGGAATTTGTTAAATACTGGGTTCAAGACACATTACAGTGAACAGCTCTACTTTATTAAGTGGTTTCAGGAACACCACAAGACAAACTCCAGGGCTGCCACCCTGTTTAAATAGCATGCAAGCGCCACACCCAAACACACCCCACTCCCAACAATAGGCTATTTAAATAACACCACTTCTCCATTGGTCCCCTCCAGAATCCTGGCAAGCTATCGTTCCGGAGCAACAAGCTCAGCCAGTCTTGGATACTAACTCAGGGATGACCCATGTTCAGTACACAACAGAATTCTTGGACCAGTTCATCAAAACAGGGTTGTATACTCTCCAGTAAGACCACAAAGGACTTTTGATGTCATATTTCCCTATGCCTCAATTATTTGCTGGAGGAGGATACCCACAGGAGACTATGGCTGAGGACTTAACAGTGGCTGAGCATCTGAGGCCATTGTTAGCTTCCTAAGCCTGAGGCTTCTACTTCTGTGGGTTTGATCCCTTCTGGGCAGCAACAATCCAGTTGTATTATATAAAAAGCTAAACAGATCTACTACAGCCAGCATATAGGTTCTGTGGTCATACTTCCATCTGCAGGTGGAGGCCAGTTTGAAAGCTCTCCCAGCTTTCACTTGATGTTATGAGCGGATTTGTTATATCCAGGGGTCATTTCATAGAAAAAGAGGTGCAGGAGTTCATTAGCATAACTCATTTGCATAACTTATTTGCATATGCCACACCCCCTGACATCACCGGAAGTGTGTCAGAAGGCAACACCCACCACTCAGGCTCCACTGGACTGTTTTGGATTGCTAGCTATTGGGGGGGGGGGACGTGCAGATCTGTCTTCGCAGAGGAGGGAGAGCTTGTACCTGAATAAAACTTGGTCTTAAAGGTGCCACTGGACTGTTTTGGACTGGGGGGCCGGGGGGGGGGCTCTGCAGCTTACCTGGCTGCTTCTTTCTCTGACTGAGGGCTGCTGGGAGCAGGGGGTGGGGCTTGTTGCATGTTCCCGCCCCCTGGGCTCTTTACTGCCGGAGCTCCACTCCTGTGCGCTCCTGCAGGAAATGACCCCTGGTTATATTTTATTTTATTGTGGTTTATTTTCTTTTCTTTTATTTTCTCTCCTCCTTTTGGCACCTACCACAGGCCCAGCTAATTGCACAGTCCATAGGCCAGGCATTTAGTGTGGCCTACCAGGAATTTCTAAGAGCAAACGGAATAAATCCAGAAGACCTAAGCCAGAAGGAATACAGTGACCTGCTCAACACCCAAGACATGTACAATGATGACCTGATCCACTTCTCTAAGTCTGAGAACTGCAAGGATGTACGTTTTCATTTTAGTCATGATATTGTTAGGCTAATAGTCCCCCCAGAGCAAGCTAATAACAACCATTACACAGCTATTAAGACTTCCTTGTAAATTACTTTCAGCCATACAGGATGGAACCGTGTCTACCCTTAAGGGATATTGACAGCTATTCTTTTTGCATTTTTCTCCCTTAAAAATAAAATAAAGTAACAACCAGCACAAAATTTATCAGCACTTGGACTGATTGTCATATGCTGTGTGCTCTCCTAAGAAACAGCTTTAAAATATTTGGCATGCTGTACATCAAGTTTAGTGTGACTGAAAAATAAGCAGTTAATGTAGTTGACAATTTCATTTTTGTGGACATAACAAAGAAGGCTTGTTTCAAAAACTCCGTATGTTCAAAGCTTTATAGATAAAATGCTTAATCTGCGTGAAGTAGAAGCTCATAAAAATCTAATTTGGAGATATTTCAGTTCATAGTAGTAATCCTGGTGGCTTCTATTGCTTTATCTTGCTCCACTGTTCCACACACAATAAGTTCATATATTCTCCTTTTTGAAATAAATCTTCATCCTGTGGGGGGGGGAGGCAATTTTGCATGTTCTTTGCATTTCAGAAAGGAAAATGGCCGTTATTGGTTGTTTGCAATATTTATTCTTCTGATTTAGGTTTTCATTGAGAAACAAAAGGGAGAAATTCTGGGTGTAGTCATTGTAGAGTCCGGATGGGGATCCATCTTGCCTACAGTTATTATTGCCAACATGATGCATGGAGGACCAGCTGAGAAGTCTGGAAAACTAAACATAGGGGACCAGATCATGTCAATCAACGGGACTAGCTTGGTTGGCCTACCACTCTCTACATGCCAGAGTATCATAAAGGTACAGAAACTGCATTCAATATAAAACAGATTCCTGACTCCTGTCTATCAACAAGGCTGTCTGCTGTGCAGCAGACAGAAAGGTGAATGATACTTGAGTACAGAAGCAGGGTAAGCGGTCTTCTGCCATGCACAGTGCTTTGTGTCTACATCACCCCTACCAATGCCCTGCTGTGGTTTAAAGTTAGTACACAGGGATGGTTTATAGTCCTTGTTCATGGTGCTCTGGATTATAAACCAGTGCCTCTGTGGCCATTTCATGTTCCTGGTCCTCATGTTTCCACCACTTTTTCTTTCTAAATCCATAGTTTTGAAGCAGATTTGCAATACCAGTATTTCACTGATGTCACCCTTTCTTCGGTTCTCTGTCTCTCCCTCCCTCCATGGATAGATACAGTTTAGTCTTGAGAATTTTCCACTGACTTCCCTCCATTTTTACTTCTTCCTGATAATCAGTGCTACTATCTTGTTGCTATAGAGACATTGCTGCATCCGGTATGATTTCCGGATCTGGTTGTTGTCATGGGTACTGCTGGGCATTAACAGAAAAGGACCCGGAGATCGACAGCAAAATATGCAGTTATTTGAAGCTTTGAGTGTTTACTTCTGAGCTTAATATGGAAGTACAAAAATCAAGTTGGCAAACAAGAAGCTGTATTATGTTGTTCAAGTAGATACTGTGATGGTTAAGAAGAAGTGCATTTTTATTGTGATGTGAGAATAGACAGTGGTATTATTGTTACTATATGAAATTCTATACATCAACTTCATTATGGCCACTCAGAAATAGATAATATTTTTCTCTGTTAATGTCCAGTTATGAAAGCATAGGGTGCGATCTTAATGTTATACAAGATGTTGCTTCCTGTGTATACCAATTCTGCAGTACAACCTTAGGATGCATTATGGCATTCTAGAGTATGAGCAGTTGGTCCAAAGGGGTGTGTGTGGAAAAGAAGAAGTTGGATTTATACCCTGCCCTTCACTCAGAGTCTCAATCTCCTTCCCTTCCTCTCCCCACAACAGACACCCTGTGAGGTAGGTGGGGCTGAGAGGGCCCTAAGAGAACTGCTCTTGAGAGAACAGCTCTGAGAGAACTGTGACTGACCAAATAACTCAGATAGCAATGGAAGCCACCGGGATTATTACTATGAACTGGTATGCTATCTGAGTTATTTAAAGACCAGCTATAATCTCACCTTTAAAAGCACATAGCTTCTAGGGCACAAACAGAGCCAAAAAAAATACCCCCCAAATTCCTTATCTATATTTTTCAGATATATTTTAAGCCGGATATTGATTGGGCTGAATTCCGGCTGTTTGAAATGGCCAAGCTCGAAAAACCCTGAAAATATCCAGGATTTTTTGGGACCACCAGATAGTCAAAATTAAAGGACATTTAAAGGGATTGCAGTTCCTTTAAATGCCTTTCGGGTGAACTCGGCAGTTGGAGAAGGTGTTTAAAGGGACAGTGAGCTCTTTAAATGCCTTCGGTGTTCACTCACGGGCCATACAGCTTGCAGAAGGCATTTAAAGGGACTGCAATCTCTTTAAATGTCTTTTTTCCTTTTCCATTGAAAGCAATGGAGGATGGGGGCACCTTCTTTGGGGGCCCATGGAATTGGACCCCCGGTCCAATCTTTTTGAAACTGAGGTTCTGTTTTGTTTTTGTAGGAGAGGCACTAGCAGCTATGCTGCAAACCTCAAAAAACGGGGTCTCCTCAGATACCCTGGATCTATTTTTCATTATACCCTACTAGGAATAAGGCCCATTGTGGAAGTAAATACAATGAGCTCTTGAAAGAGGCTCTGGGAGAGTGCCTAGGCCTTGGGCACTCAGCGTCAATGTGCTGTGGTGATCTCAGCAGGGTATAATGACACAGAATCCACCATTTTCTCCAGAGGAACTGATCTCTGCTACCTGAAGAACAGTTGTAATTTTCAGTGATCTCCAGCCCTCACCTGGAGATTGGCAACAATTGTTACCCGGGAAGAAATGGCTGATTTGGGGGTGGTGTCTATGGCATTGTACTTGTCTGAGGTCCCACCCCTCCTCAAACTTCACCCTCTCCAGGCTCCACCCCTCAAATCTCCATGAATTTCCCAACCTGGAGTTGGCAACCCTATCTCCTTCCCAGCCAAGCACCAACCTGTCATTATCTGCCCCTCTGATTTCAGCTTTGCATCTCCACCCCCCTCCCTCCTGGAGATCAGTTGTAATTCTGAGTGATTTCCACCCCTCTCCTGAGATTGGCAACAGTGGTTCCCCAGAAGGGAATGGCTGGTTGGGAGGGTGGCGTCTATGGCATTGTACCTGTCTGAGGTCCTACCCTCCTCAAACCTCACCCTCTCCAGGTTCCATCCCTCAAATCTCTCAGAATTTCCCACCTGGAGTTGGCAACCCTGTCTCCTTCCCAGCCAATCATCAACCTACCTTTATTTTCCCCTCTCTCTTCAGCTTTCCATTTCCCCCACACATACACCTGCAGCCTCTTCCATGCTCTGAAACCCTGACTGCCACAGAGTCGAACATTTTCTCCAGGGGAACTGATCTCTGCCATCTGGAGAGTAGTTGTAATTCTGAGTGATCTCCAGCCCTCACCTGGAGATTGTGAACAACAGTTTCCCAGGAGGAAAAGTAGTCTTTCTCTGCAATGGGGACCAAAGCAGCTTACAGCATTCTCCTCTCCCCCTCTTGACTTGCACAACAACCCTGTGAGGTAGGTTAGGCTGAAAGTCTGTGACTTGTCCAAAATCACCCACTCAGCTTCTACAGCAAGAACCTGGATCTAGCAGACCCTGCTGTGAAGCACTGACTGCTACGTCTAGGGTAGCCAACCTCCAGGTGGAGCCTGAAGATCACCAGGTATCACAACTGAACTCCAGACAACAGATTTCTCCCCCCCAGAGAGTAGTAACCCATCCAGCCAAATTGATTATAAATTGCTTACTGGGTATGTTGATTGCTTATGATGGTGTATTAGATATGTCTAGGAAAATTAGGAAATTAAAAAAAAAAGAATTACTTTCTCTGACCCTTATGTAACTTACTGGTCAGATGACTCAGGGGTTTAGAGATTAGTGGCAATTGTTAGGAACTGGGGTTATTGGGTGGATGGGCTGAGTTAAGGGAAGTGTCAGCAGCACTGAGTATTGTTAGGATAGATTAGATCTCAGGACCAACTGCACTGGAGAACTGCTTAATCAGTATAATTTTATATATTCAGCCGGGAATCAGCCTCTAATAGTCTGAGGCTAGTTAGCGAAGACCATTTATGGCCAAGGGATACCAGTGCTCCTGGGGAGGGGAAAGTATTGCAGTGGGACCAGGCAAAAATGGAAGGGAAGGGAACGGAGACGTAGAAGAGCTCGGTCCCCTTCCAGCCTGCGTCCCATCCCAAAGTTAGTGGGGCTAGGATTACTGACCCCTCTCCGACATTGGTTTTGTGCAATCCCAGGTCCATAAATATTAGACCATGGTCCTTCATGACTTTCTGTCAGAACAGGACTTGGACCTGGCGTGCGTGAGCGAAACCTGGGTGCGAGATGGGGAGACAGTAGGTCTCTCCCAGTTAGCTCCTCCTGGGTTCTCGGTCCTTCACCAATTCCAGACTAAGGGGGCGGTGGCAGTGGCTTTATTCATCTGGGAGGATTACACCTTTAGAGTGTTCCTGCCGCCAAAGCTCACAGGCATAGAGTGAGAAAATAACTGCTTTGGAGAATTAATCTGCTTTCGAGGGTGGGCTGTATGGCATTCTGTTCAGCTGAGGCCTCTGTTCTCCCCAAACCCTGGCTTCCATAGACTCTACCAGAAAATCTCCAGAAATCTCCCTACCTGGAGCTGGCAACCCAACTCAGGACTGGCCCTAATGAGTTCCTCACAAAGGCCTGCAAAGGGTTTCCTTCCTTTGTCTGAACCAAGCTTGGTTGCCTACCATGGTGAAACGGGCTCCAGTTTACAACTCAGCTGTTTGTCTCCCACCCTTGTCCCGAGGGTGTATCTCATTGGGGCCAGTCCTGAGTCGGGTTGCCAGGTTCCCTGGGCTGCCCCCTCCCTTTGGTATTGTGCAGAGCAGGGGAGACTATGTGGTCAGAGCACAACACAGATTATTAGCCCAAATTAAAGAATTTATGTAACTATTTACACAGTTATGGAACACACACACTGTAGGAGTAAGCACATACCAACAGGACATAAATCAACAGAGGTTAAACGAGTCCAGCCAACTGTGGAGTGGCTGAATTTCTGCTGCTCCCATGGACAAAGATTGCCTTGGGACAGTCCCTGTTTTCCCACACTTTTTGGCCTTGGGACAGCTTGGAACTGTAGGCCAGCAGATGAGGAAGCCCCATTCAACCCAGTGAGTGATACCCCTGCAAGCCCCTCTCTGGAACTACAGCTCAATTAAACCTTATGGGGGAACATTTTAAACAAAGAACCACAGCCATCTTACAAACACAGGTAACTGCCATTTCGTGACACCTACCAACAGCCACTGAGGGGAAAGTTAGTCCCACACAGAAGGCAAGCAGGAAAAGGGTCTTTGTCAAGAGAGAAAGCTGTTTCCCAGTAATTCTGACAGGGTACAGCGGCTGAAGGGGGAGTGGGTGGGGAAGAGGAGCAGACCCAGCACCTGGGCAATGGCACGCGAGTACTCTTGAGCGGCGGCTGATGGGCCAATGGCTGAGGGAGGGCATGGAATGTTGCCACTTTAAAAACAGAATTATGTATAATATAAGAAGAGATGGGGACCATTGACTATAATGTTTCCCACAGTGTATAATGGAGCCAAAATAACTTGGTATTCTTGAATATTTACCAAATCCAAATACCGGGATTTTTTGCACACCCCTAATAGCTTCTAAAAATAAGATAGTTGACTTTTTATAGAGAGAAATGATTCATGCTAGTAATGGAGTGCATGATACGAAGGGAAAAGTATGGACACATAGGTCTTTTCAGATTTTGTAGAATAAATGCATGTATATGTAGCACCTTCATTTTTCTGATTGGGAAGGCTAACAGACAGCCATATGGTGCACAGATGATGTTTGAGTCTGGATCGGGTGATACATTTTGGGCTATAAATAAAGCCCAGCCGCCCCAAAGTGGAAGCTATGAAACAGAATGGAAATGTCTTAGGGCCTTGTGTTTTTCTGCACACCAGATGGCTGCTGAATGGCCTTTTCTCATCTCAGGCTTGTATTTTTATTTACTGTGTGTGCTTCCCAGATCCACATGCAGGCATCGTGGCAGCCAGCTTCCTTGCTTGATTAACAAGCAAGCTGAGCACAGTAGGTAGATACACTCAGAGGGAGGAGTGAGAGAACAATTTGCTGTTTGGTGCTCTCTGGGGCTCGCTTCACATATAATCCTTGTGAATATTTATTAGGTAGGTAAAAACTCTGGTAGGGAAAATCATCCATAAAGGGAAAGGTTAGGTGTATGAATGGATCCATGATGCAAATAGTCACTTCAGGAAACATTTTTTTTCCTGCCTTTGCAAGAGGCCATTTTAAAAAACACTTGTTATGTACACATTTTAGTAAAGAAAAGGTATATGTGGTTACATCAGATTAAAAAGGAATGTGGGGTCAGTGGCATTAAAAATCTAATAAATTATAAAAATGGGATTTATCCTCATTTTCAGTATAAGATGCTGATGATCAGAGTCTGTATTAGCATCAAGCTTCCTTGGTTCCCAGTGCTTGTTACTCCTCATTTTTCTCATGTCAAGTTTGTAAATTTCCTAAAGAAGCAAATAGCAACTCCCCAGGGCCATTTCAAGCTATGGGAAAAGGGAACATCAAAGCCCCTTCCCTGTGCACCCTATGGTCATATGAATTGGCCTATCCATCTCCTGCCCAATTCCCAATTCTGTATTGATTAATCCTGATTAAAAGTTGGGGACTTGCATATGAACTCTCAGATAGTGTGTTGCACTTTCAGGTTTACTACTCCAGTACTTCACTGCAAACTCAAAGGTTTAGGTTAGCTTGTTATTGTTTATTTACAAAATTTGTACCTCACCCTTCTAACTTCATCAGGGCCACCAAGATGGCTAACACATTAAAAAACATCATAGAATAAACTGCCAAAATGGCTGTCTCTCTTGACAAAGACGCTTTTCCTGCTTGACTCTTGTGGGGCTCAGTTTACCCCCAGTGGCTGTTGCTAGCCAGTTTGGTGTAATGGTTAAGTGTGCGGATTGTAATCTGGGAGAATCGAGTTTGATTCCCCACTCCTCCACTTGCAGCTGCTGGATGACCTTGGGCAAGCCATAGTTCTGTGAAAGCTGTTCTCTCAAGGCAAGAGCTCTCTCAGCCCCATCTACTTCACAGGGTGCCTGTTGTGGGGAGGGGAAGGGAAGGGAGTTTGTAAGATGCTCTGAAACTCTGAGTGAAGGGTGGGGTATAGATCCAATCTCCTCCTCCTCCTCCTCTTAGTTCTGTCAATAAAAAGGCAAAGGCAGGAGGCCCATTCCAGGTCTACTTTGGCCTTAGTGGGGAACTCAATGGGGCCAGTCCTGATGAGGGTTGCCAGCTCCAGGTTGGGAAATTCCTGGATATTTTGTGGTGGAGTCTACAGAAGCCAGAGTTTGGGGAGGGGAGGCCTCAGCTAAATAGAATGTCATAGAGTCCACCTTTCAAAGCAGTTATTTTCTCTGGGGGAACCATTGCTGCCAATCTCCAGGTGAGGCCTGGAGATCACTCAGAATTACAACTGCTCTTCAGATGGCAGAGATCAGTTCCCCTGGAGAAAATTGTGAACTCTTTGTCATTATACCCTGCTGAGGTCACCACAGCAAATTGACGCTGAGTGCCCAAGGCCAGGGCACCCGCCCAGAGCCTCTTTCTAGAGCTCATTGTATTTATTTCCACAATGGGCCTTATTCCTAGTACATAATAAAATCACATCTTAAAAACCATTATAACAAAAATATCAACACATGTGTCATTAAAATAAAACCAAAGCTAAAATACACAAATAAAAGCATAAATACAACAGTTAAAACATTGGGCATGAAGGAGGGATCACTGAGGGAACACCAAAAAAACAAAGTTTCCACCTGCTGGCGGAAGATGGAAACAGAACAAAACAGACAAGTCTCCCTAGGGAGAAAATTCTAGAGTTTTGGTGTCATGATTAAGAAGGCCTTCTCCCAGTTGCCACTTGCCTAATCTCAGAAGGTAGGGGCACCTGAACCAGGGCCTTGGAAGATGACTGTAGTGGTCAGGTTGGTTCATAAGGGAGTAGACGATCCTTCAGGTATGTAGGTACCAAACCATATAGAACTTTGAAGGTCAAGACCAGCACCTTGAATTGTGTCTGAAAACAGATTAGGAACCAATGAAGACGGTTATTACTGGAGTAATATGGTCCCTACAACCCACTCCAGTCAACATCCTGGGTGCAGTGTTCTATACCAGTTGAAGCTTTTGAACATTTTCAAGGGCAGCCCACAGAGTACTTGCAGCAGACTAATCTAGATGTAACTAGGACATAGACCACAGTGGCCAAATTCTTTCTTCCCAGTAGGGTTGCCAGATACTTACCTCTTGCCAGGGGGGGGGGAGGGAACCTTCCAGGAGGGGGCGGGGCTCCACCCCAAACAGCGATATCGCTGTGCGACATCACCAACACGATGATATCACATGGAAGTGACGCCATCACATCGGGGACATCACTGGGGACACTCTGCTTTGAGGGCAAAACTGTGGTAAAATTGCGCTCAAATCAGAGTGTCCCCCACATGATGTCATTGTGTCAGCGATGTCATGTGGGGGACGTCGCTGTTTGAGGGTGGGGTTCACCTGTTGGCCAGTGGCTGGGAGAAGCCCCCAAACGTGGAGGATTCCTCACTTGGACCTGGGGGCTTGCAACCCTGCTTCCCAAGAAAGGCAGCATCTGACTAACCAGTCAGAGATAGTAAAAGGGACTCCTAGCCACAGCTGCTACTGCTTATCCATCAGTAGGCCTGGATTCTAGAGTATCCACAAACTGTGGGCCTATTCATTGAAAGGGAGTGAAACTCCATCAAGAATGGGTTACACCTTCAGGTCTGCTAACCATTAACACTGTTATGCTTCCCAAATGGTGTAAGAGCCATTCTTCTACAGCTGGCTTTCTTAGCACTCTGCTATCTTGTTTGGGGGGACTATGTGGGTCAGGTGACTGTTGTGGTTTCTTGTCATAGGATTAATTTTCACATTTGTAGTTCTGTAACATTGCTATATAGTGTTACACTGCATGCTATTTTTAATTTTAATTTCCAGTAGTAAGGTCTGAACAAATTAAGCAGGACACCACCAGTCCTGGCAAATGCACATCAAGTCAATGTGGAATTTACATCCGTGTTAATGTCCTGCCACAGTTTTGATCTCTACTGTATTCTTTTTAAGGGTTTGAAAAACCAGGCCAGGGTTAAGCTGAATATAGTGAGATGTCCTCCAGTAACTACTGTGCTCATCCGAAGACCAGACCTCAGATATCAGCTAGGCTTCAGTGTACAGAATGGCATTGTAAGTAGCATTCTTAACCAGTTACTTTGGCGCTCCAACTTTCACAGACCCTTTTTTTGTTTTTGTTTTTTAGAAAGGGAGGGGAAATGGGAAATTAATTAAATTCAAAAGCACTTAGGGCACATGTTTTTATGTACCTATTAAATCAAGATATGACATTTTGGAATCAGTGGACAAATATGGAAAGTCATCTCACTGTGGGGCAGTGTAATCCAGTGTGATTGGCCATACTACATAAAGGGTAGCAGAAAGGGTCCTTTCCGGTGCTTAATTTGTGAAATCAGAAGTCCTAGGGCTCAAAGGTGAGTAGAAGCTAGGTCCCTTAGTCTTATGAGTGTGGAACAGGGCTAAGGTTATTCAGCAGAGTAGAAATGCATTGTAAAGATGCCAAGATAATGCTAAAACACCTAGTAATCTGATCAATATGAACCATGATGCCCCAAGGCAGAAGTGCTGATCATAATGTGGAATTGACACATGGATCCTGAACAAAGACAAAATCTGCAGGTATATATCTAAATATATTAGATGAATTCTTGTGTTTTGACATGCCCAGTGGTATCTTAACAATTTGGTTTTGTGTAACACACTTCCTTAAGAATCCAGTGCCTCCAGCTCATGGTATGCATAGTCAAATCTTAATGTTTTCACACTTTTGAAATTACTGCCATCTACTCCTGTTCTAACATGGAAGAGGTTAGTTCATTTTACCACATGCCAATAGGTATTCAGTTTGCATAGCCATGTTTCTAGGAAATATCATTTGAATTCTTTAAAAAATGGTTGGTTGTTTAGAAAATAAGTAGGATTTGTTTTCCATGATTGAGTGTTGATTTACACATTCATATACACCATGCAGTGATTTCACTGTGTGCCCTGAATCATACATTCATCTGGGCTGGTGCACAGTTTGCATAAGGGAGGAGTAATACATGGAGAGATGCCCTGGCCTATATGTGGATGATGCAGTATGAGCTGCACGGAGTACTTGCTCACATGGTCTCTGTCCCTCAAAGTGGATTTGTCTGTTGAAATAGTACAAATAGGGCCTCTGGCAGTATCAGCCACCACTGTGGAATACCTGGTTTGTAAATTGTATGGTAGATGGGATGGGAGCACACCACTTCTGCACCTAGAGAATTGTGCCTGTCCTGGTAAATGTATGAACCAGGTAAGTTGCCTCCATTTGAAATATTGCATGATACAACAGTACCTTCTATGATACTGGATTGCTGATGGTTATTTCCCACATACACATGATCCTGTCATATTTTATCATCACTGCAGGAATTGGGCGATTAACATATTTAATATATAAATAAATAAATAAGCTTGAGTGAACTTGTGGTTTGGTCTCTCTGCCATTGCAACTTCATTTGTCATCATCTGATGTTCTGCTGTTCCAGATCTGTAGCCTTATGCGAGGAGGGATTGCAGAGCGAGGAGGTGTACGGGTGGGCCACCGGATTATTGAAATAAACGGGCAAAGTGTTGTAGCGACCCCTCACGAGAAGATTGTTCACATCCTCTCAAATGCTGTTGGTGAGGTAGGAGCTAGCAACTCATTTTGCTTATGTTGGCTTTGTTGCATTGTTTCCACCAACCAAATGAAAAGGCTGATGAAGTGTGACTTTATAGCTTTTGGTGAGATTAGCAGCTTGGTGCTGAGCGCTCATGGCTCCAGCTGTGGAAACATTGATCACATTTGTGTCCTGCCTATCCTCCAAAGAGCTTAGGACATAGTACAGTGGTCATCATCATATTTTAACCTCACATCCAGTTTGTCAGGTAATTCAGGGCTGATGAATGAAGTGCCAGAGTGGACCTCACCACTACTAGGCCACAAATGGAGGATCACATTTCAGAGTGTTTGCCATTGTTTAAAAACTTCTTGCAAGTAGAAAACTCTCACAGCAAAAAGAGAGAGAGAGTCATCCAGAGAGAGAGTTGTTGGATGTGTTGTTTGACAGGGATTTGAGCCTCATCTCCCTTATCCATGGCTAATATTCTATTAATTGCATCAGTGGCCTTCAGCTGGTGTATCATGAGATACAGTGACGTCACAGACCAGTCTGTGGTATTGCTCTTTGTTCTGTTTAAGGTTCTTTAAAAGAAGAAGAAAGACATATAAGTGAAGGAGCAAAAGGAACATATATTGTGGAATAAAAATTGGGTCTTGTGGCCTGAAGTGATTGAAGGCTTACACCAGTGTTCCCTCTAAGCTGAGTTAGTGTGAGCTAGCTCACAGTTTTTTAGCCTCCAGCTCACACATTTTTGCCTTCGCTCAGGAAGGATGGCTCCAGAGCACACTAATTTATGCAGTAGCCAAATTGTTGCCTCACAACTTTAATGCCAGTAGCTCACAAAGTAGAATTTTTGCTCACAAGATTCCACAGCTTAGAGGGAACATTGGCTTACACCACCACACGGTCCCTTACTGAGTATCAATGTCTATATGGAGTCACTCCCACTGAGCTGTGGAGCTTGTTCCCCAGGAAGTGTGGTTAGGATTGCAATCTTTTTAGCTGTAGGACATAACCGCTGCTTCCTGAATATTCTCTTATCCCCAAAACGCAAAATGTAGAACTCCTTTTAAAAATATTTTAGGAAATGTATTTGGGGCACACGGACTCAATTGTCCTTTTGTTTTTCCAGATCCATATGAAAACTATGCCAGCTGCCATGTACAGACTCTTGACGGCACAGGAACAACCAGTTTACATCTAAAGCTCATCTTCCCAGTATGCATGGAGGACCTTTCTCCTAATTAGTGGTTGTGTTTTCTTGTGCTGCATTTTGGTGTCTGCAGCAACATTCTCTCTCTCTCCCCCCCCCCTCCTGTACCTTTTAACATTTTGCTGTGTACAAAACATTTTTGGTTGCGCCTTTTTACTACTAGAGTTTTATGTAATTCTTCACAGCAGAGAAAAACAACCAGGATTCTCTTTCTCCCTCACACACGCACACCTGCAGTTGTTCGGGCTATATTATCATTTTGTGCTTTTGTGGCTGTTAAGACAGACAACACAAGTACATCAAATGGAAGCTCTATTTACCAAATAGGTCAGACTATATGGTACAATTCTCTCTCGGTTTTGTAAATTCTGAAATGATGCTGTGCTGCATATGTAAGGGGAAAGCGCCTATTTATGATATTTGGTCAAAGGAAAAAATTGAGTTGTGTTTAAGGAAGGAAAGATGGGCAACACCCCAATTTTTCATCTGAGAATTGCTTCAATAATGTACTTGTTGGGCACTTGTGTATTAGGTAAGTTTTGCCTCAAGGGTTGTGTTTATTCTCTGCTGAAAATCCTTTGGGACTAAATTTTGCATTGTTGGTGGGAGATCTTGCTACATGAAATGTAAGCTTTTCTCCCCCTGTTCTTTGGAGTACTTTATTTTTAGGTGCAGTATGGTTTTTGCAGACGGCTTTTCTAATCCCTGCTTTCTTCCTAAAGCTGAGTGATGCAACCCTAAATACCTAAGTTAGGGGGGCAGTGGTAAGACTCCCGTGGACCTTAATTTCCTAAATTTCTTCATTTTGTGAATGTGTAGCTGTATGTGTGTGGATGTGGGCTGATTGGTTGTCACATTTTTAAACTGTACGCTTGATATTTATGATCTTTTCTCAAGTCCATACAGTTCTAAATTGTTGTTATTCTGAGCCAGTATACTTTTAACATATCTCTGGTCCAAAAGTTTGTATTTAATATTTTAAAGACAAGTTCTCTTTAATTTTGGACCATAGCATCATTGGAATAGTTGAAGGGTATACATTTAATTTATTTTGTAATATATACATATA